GTTTACGATGTTGTCGAAGGAGGCGGGGCTTGTGATGTTAAAACGCAAGTTACTGGTGAGTTACCGGGTTTGATTGTACTTGCTGTTGCTGACTCTTGTTTGTTGAAGCCAAGGCTGTTGCCCAGATGCGATGACATGCGGAGTTACAGGTCGGAGGTGGGCCTGCCGCTGGAGGCGATTTCGAGAGCATCTTTAAATTGGTTGTTGACTGCAAGGAAGCGGTTTTTGTCGGTGACAAAGATGAGCCCGTCGCTCGTAATACAGTGAAGGTGAGTCACCGTTGTTGATCGAGCTTGCTGTTGCCAACTCTTGCTTGTTGACGCCAAGTTGCTTTGAGTAAAGTAGGCGGGCTCGTCGAAGGGCGTTGCGATTGTTGTTGGTGTTCTGTAAGTCGGATTTGTGCCGATGCTTCCTGTCCTGACATGCTTACCTTGCCTCAGTTTGGGCATTGCGCAGACTGAGATTCCTGCTGCAGCATTCACTGTAGAAATAGTCAGTGTTGCGTTGACCACGGCGTTGGGCCACTGACCTCGTTTAGACCTAGTGGGTCTGGTCTCAGACTGAGATTCTTTCTGCAGCATTCGGTGTAGAAATAGTCAGTTTTTGCGTAAAACACCGTTTGGCCCATTAACCTCGTTCCAAACCTCGCCCGCTCCACCTGACCTCAATTTGTTGCCCGCTCCCTTCACCGACACCAAATCGATGCCCATCACCTTCAACACCGAGGAACTTCATTCCCAGCGCCCTCGGCGTTTGCACTGACCCGCCCAGTGCATCCCCCGTAAGCCATCTGCCCGTTGTTGCCTAGTTTGCTGACCAAGATGGCTTTGCAGAGGTTCCGGAGCTGTCTGGGACGTGGGGTCTTGCGCAAGCGGCGTTGGGCCGGGGCCCTTGGCCGAGCGAGATAGCCGTAAGTTTGAGCACGCAGTAGTTAGTGATAAGGGGAAGGACAAAATCAAGAGAGGCAAGTCACGACTATGTGCCAGTAGTGACGGTTCAACGTGTACTGACATCTATGATTCAAGGTAGGGCCGACGAGCGGCGTAGCACCGAACTGATTGAAAGTACATAAAAAGTGTCCTACATATACAGCATTGTAGTAGCAATTAGGTCCAAGACTGATTTTTAACTAAGAGTAATATTCCTTCAAAGCATTGAATCACACTAGGGCTTCTGCTAAAGATTGTTCCCAAAGCAGAATATAATTCTAATGTTTAACAGCTTTAATTGATAATCAAGAAAAGAACACTTACTCTGGTCAAAGAGAAATCAAGGTCTGTATCAGTGCATAAAATCCAGAATATTTGTTAATAACAGATGCATCTCACTTAAGCCTCAATATTTTTTCAAAAAGATATTATTGCCTGAATTTTTCCTCTTTTTGTCTCTTAATATATATATATATAATTAGGGAATGGCACGGATAGGCTCAATCCGTGTGGATACACGGATTTTATCCGTACAGATACGGATATGGATAGAAATTTTGCTATCCATGATACCCATGGATAAGTGACTTCACTAGGATATGAGGGTAAACGAGTATGATAATCTAGCAGCCTAAAACAGATGTTATTACATACTGGCTTGATAGTATATAGACATATAAACATCCTTGTACTACCTTCATAGAACTCCTATCTGAATATCTTCTCCAATCCATGGGTATATCCATATCTGTACCCACGGATATGGGTACACAGCTGTCACGGATAAGACCCGGCCCGTCCGCTCCGGCACTGGTGTCGGGCCATCGTGGGCCCGTAGCATGCAGCACGTGACGACGGGGAACATGCGCCCGGAGAGGTCCTTGCACGGCCCGACCCGCAGTCTGACAACAGCCACCATGGATACGGATAAGAATAGAGTCTCAGGTACCCAAGGGTATACCTATGCCACTCCCTATATATAATAGCCATTTTTCACTTATCTCTGATATATTGGTACATTTTGCTGCTGCTTGGCAGATCTGGTCTTATATCTTATGGCATATTTGCTGTATTTATTTTAATTGCTACAGATTATGGTTATAAAATGGTCTGTTGATATTAACTTTGACTCATATCCTATCTGAGGACTTGATTGCAAATCAAGTCTACTTTCTTCAAGTTTTATTTTCCATCTGTTCAAGTTATGTAAATTGTTATTGTCCTAAGTACTAGGATCATTGACATTTGTTACCAATAAAATAATATGTCTTGAATGTGCATATATGACTTTGGTTTACCATACTCTGGGAATACTGTGCAAAATATTTTCTGGGCAAGCTGTTTTCTTTTGTAAGTATTTTAGTATTTTAAAGCAGGAGTCTCGTTGACATGAGAGCGTGACAGCGGATGAGTGATGCGGGGGTTGTCACAAATCAGGGCACTTTTGGTTTGGTCACTCCCGGTCGGTATAAGCAAAACTGATGATTCAAGGTTGGCCGACCAGCGGCGTAGCACAAACTGATTAGACTCATAAATACCTGTTTTGAATATTTGCCTAAATACTTGGTGGTCAATCCAGTGTAAATAAAACCTCAAATTTTTGTCATAGATAAGATATTTTTTCTCCAAATCTGCAACATATTTACCTACAGAAAGTAATTTTTTTACATCAAGAGAGTCGGTCCGAATACACCCGTTGACATGGGAAATTGTGACACGGCATGGATTGATGCGGAGGTCGTGACAATCAGTGCAAGTCGGATTCGGTGTGTATGAGCACAAAAAACTTAAATCAGTTTGTGAATAAATCAGTTTGTGAATTACAGGCTCATCGTTGGACCATTCATCATCCATGCTTACAAATCAGACTGAAGGTAGGTTGAAACTACTTGATTTCAATCGAGCTTACAGGTCGAGCTTATATACAGCGTTAGACACCCGGCTCGTCGGAGTTGCGTGCACTGACCTCGTCCCGTCCCACACTGTGCCTGGCCAGCGTTGACTCTTACTGCGAGCAACATCCAGGAGGTCGTCCCGCAAGAATGCCTCTGCATGGTAATCATACTGACTGAACGAGTTGACTGACCAGCAGCCACCAAACTATGTTCGGAGGTGAGCTGTTTGCCGAAAACAGAGGAAGACAAGCTTATCCTGTCGATTCAGTTGGCTATCGAGTCCGAGAGGAACGACTCTGAACAACAGGTGAGTCGCAAAACCAGATTTGTGTTGGCTTGCAGCTTGGCCAGGGTTGATCAAGTGACAAGAACAGATCCCGCTGCCGCGATTCTTTGGGTTCTCAATCGCGTCTCGCAGGTGAGTTCTTCGTGTCAACTCAGCCAAATTTAGACATACCTCGAAGAATTTTGACAGCGAGTTTGCCGCTGTTTGCGCCGGCGAGTTGCTTGATCAAACTCGGGAAATTTGAGCATAACTGACCGTTATAGGCCCGCTTGCGTCGGAACCAGTCCCGGCAGCCCCAATTGCAGGGAGACACGCGCGCGCCGCAGATTCTGGAGGCGAACCGGTGGGCCGAACAGGCTGGGGAGCGGACTTTGCGGGTTAGCGCACCAATCCCAGTAGCTGCCGAGTCGTGAGTTTCTTCAACAAATTGGGACAATCTAGGCACACCTGACCATTTTAGCCCCGCTTTCGCCCAAGCCAGCCGCGCCGAACATCTCCGGAGACAACACAATCGCGCGTCGGGCGGTGCTGAAGCGGCGAAGAGAGCGGGCCGGGCAAGGCACTCTGGCAGAACAACCGATACAAAATGCGCACTTCCCCGCCAATAATAATAATAATAATAAGCCCCTGCGGTCCCATATGTGGGTACCGGGAAGGTCCACTTCTCGCCTAGCGACCTGTTTCGCGGATTTACTTATTGAGTCATCTTGCCCGTGATCCTTCGCGTTTCGTGTCCTAATCTTGCTTTTTGAAAGGTCGACTTCTGCTTTGCGTTTGGTTTCCTTCTTCTCTTCGGCAACGGAGCAGCTTGCGAATGCAGGTTCGTCGTTCGCGACCGCAGACTGCTATGCAACCCAAAGTTTCCAGTTCGCTGCAAACGGTTGCGAGGAGGGACACACGGAGACTGAAGTTCCCGTCAACCAAGTTTTGCATCATATCGACACCCCGGGTAAAGTGGAATCTTCAGATGCATTATGATGTTCACATCCACGAACTCTGCTGAAGGCACTGCCGGTGGTCGCTTGAAGTTCAGCATCATATAATGCGAGCGCTGTATTCAGATGGAAGTCCGGTAAACAGGCGCCATCCTCTCAGTCATAGATCGAATCAAAGGGAAATCCGAAAAATGTGCGAGTGCTTCCCGCATAGGTCTAGCGGAGATGTAAGCACCAAAGCGGGGCCTCTACGAAGACAAACCAGATAAATAGTGATGCGGCCCGAGCGTTGATTTGATCCTCGGTGGTGGGATTCCTGAGGAAACATTATCCTCAAATCTGCGGTCTTTGAACCCAAGTTTAATGCCTGCAAGCCACTCAGCGACAAGGAAGGTTTGAGAAGAGATAAACATACGGGTTCGGGACACAAAGTTTTGAAGGACTGAATTTCTTCGGCGTTGCAAAACGGCTTCAAATCATCAGATTTGGGTAAGCCATGGACCGGGCCCATATACGCATTATCCTCACCGTGCACGTCTTATTGATGTCAGAGCAGGTCCTGGTCCTGCCACTCGACACGCCTTAGTTTAGCCTTAGTATGTAAGCATATGAGACGTTTAGCTTGGCTCACTGTGTTGTTGTTGTTACACGGTAATAATGCCTCCTCAAGAAAGCTATCTGGAAAGCAGGATGCCACAGAGTCATGGGACCAGTGAGGCGCTGTATTTGCATGGCTGGCTGCTTTAAGGGCGACATAGGTGGAGCGTTCTAGATCTCAGATACAGGGTCTTGGCAAAGTTCGAGCATGGATTCAGAACAGTCAATACAGAACAGCCTCACATTCTTCTTGCTATCGAGATACTTACTGCAAGGGCCATAAGAGGTCATAAGCAGAGCCATATGTGACCGAGTAACGATTATTCGTGGCATTTGATGGCACATGATTGACGGAAGCTTTGTTGCCTTCGTCCACCACTGGCACCAGCACCCAGCGAGCAAAATCGACGTGGATCCTCCTGTGACAAACATTCGACCCAAAAAAACTGCTCGGATTAAAGGCACAAAGACGACTCGGCAGCAAATATCGTTGCTCATGCAGCCATCGAACAAGTCGCAGGTGATTAGCAAGCCAAGACGGGAAGTGTCCAGCGCAAAAGAAGATGATAGTAAGTCATGGCAATCAGCTTAACTTGATGTATATTATTGATGACTTGGTAGTTGAACAGGACGAACTTCAGTCAGACATTGAAGACACTACACATCTTATTATGCCGAGCTTCCACAACGCAACATCTTTGCCAGTGGACACCAAATGTGTGAAGCCAGTCAAGTTATTCACAGTGCCTGATCTAAAAGTAGACCAACGCAAAGGCGATTCTAAACCAGCATTGTTCGAAGACACCCATGCCAATACCATTTCGGGCGGGCCGGTCGATTTCTACAATATTCCCGCTTACACATTCGACATGTGTATGTACCGCTTGGCGGCCCATGCTGTGCAATTGGAGAGTTCAAGTGAGAACCAGAAGAAGATCAAGGAAGGATTAGAGCGGGCGGTTAAGAGGATGGATCAGATGCGCACCGAGAGCAGCTATCGGATGCTCAAGACACAACGGTGTGACCATGATATGCGGCCGACCGTAACCAAGTTGGAAGGAAAGATGAACCTTCGTCCACATGAAGTGTCCATTGCAGGCCAAGTAGAGCAACACACAGAACACCCAGATGGAAATTCACCAATCGTAATACTTGATTCGGATGATGACTGCACCGAGTGGGAGTTGTTGTACCCGGAATGAATTGCTAGGCTTAGTTCAGTAGTTTCGATTACCTGAGGTAGAATGTAGTGACTATTAGTATCGAGGTAACGATGAGAAGGTCTTGAGAGAGTGGTTGTGTCAGGCCATCACGGCAATCGTCTACAGGCAGGCCCCCGGCGTATGCGCCTAAGGGTCCGATATTTATGCGGATAGAAATGGCCCAAAAAAGGCCTTTGTGTCTGATATTTGTGCGGTTAGAAGTGGTCCTTTGCTGAGTTGTGTTAGGGTAACGTTAAAAAGTCTGTGGTTAAAAACTATTTTGTTATTAACATGTTACTTACAAATTAATAACAATATTAAGAAAGAGCCCTTCCATAAGCCATGTTAAGAACTGTTAGAAAGTCGGAGTTATCGGATCAAAAATCTCCCATTTTGGGTACGTGACATAATCAATGCCACTCTGCCAGCAAAGCGTTAGCATCGACGACTGCGACTCGAGCAAAGCACATCCTGATTTGTGCCACTATTTAGCGCAATTATTTTACCCTATGATGTCCCCCAACACCTCACCCGATGCCCTCTCAACTCCTGGACCCCACAACTGTGTCTGCTTTCGATATCTTCGAAGTACTTTTCTTCCTGGAAAAGCAACTCCCGCACCTTCCAACCCACCTTCCTGTGCTTGATGCTGCCACATCCAAGTTCTCTCCATTCGCGGCTCCCTTCTCCGTTGATGCGGAGCTTCTAGAGCGCACTGGCTCGCCCGCATCTGCTCTCAGCAAGCAACTGAAGCGAGCATTTGGCTGGCAAGCGCGCTCCTCGGGAAGAAGGCGACATGGGTCACGTACACCTTCGACGGAAGCACCGTAAGACGCAAAGACGGTTTCTACACCCTTCACGGAACAGACCCGCATGGTCGAAGCTATCTAATTGACATGCTCCGTGGCTACAATACTGAAGCGCATACTGCCAAGTGGATTTCCGAGTCGATTTTTCCGGTGCGTTGCCCTCTAAACTCGAGCTTGCTGCTGATAGTTATTCTAGTTGATTGAAGAAATCGGTCTTGCGAATGCAGCGGCTGTCTGCTCGGATAACACGAATGTCACGAAGCTCGCTCGCCGACTACCCCAAGAACGCATTCCAGGGCTGATTACCCTCTGGGATTGTGTCCACCACATTCACAACATGATCAAGGACATCACCAAGCTGCCACAGTTCGCTCGTGTACGCTTTTTTTTTATCTTCCTACAACTTTGTGTTTATTGCTCTACAGGTCACAAAAATCACGAAGGCGATGATCGCGCACTTCAGCAAGTCGAATAAATCAACTCATCTCATTCATCGTGCCAGGACAGACAAAGGCGAGGTCGCATCTGAGCTTCAAAAGCCAGGAACTACACGTTTCGGCTCCCTATGGTCGACTTTTGTCTCTGTCCTTCCATATCTCGAGATTATCCAGGGATTCGTTCGGGATGGCAGCATTAAATTCAAGGTAGCTCTATTGTGCGCTTCGAGATGGTAGCAACGCTGACGTCGTAAATTGTGTCAGAATAAGGCTGCTCAGAAGCTGTTTCACAGCCGCTCGACGCAAGGAACCGGAGACTTTTTGAGCTTCAAGAATGCGATGGAGACATACATTGCGATTATTGGTCCAATGATCCGGTCTCTTTGGTCGCTCGAGGCAGCTCAAGCACGTGGCTCCGATGTGTTCGTCTTTTGGCATTCCATGGCTGCGACGCTGAAGCACCTGCTTGAGCAACCGACCAGTACCTCGGGCATCAATATCACACTTGCTCGTCGTGTTACGACAATATTCAACCGTCGCTTCAAGGAGTTTTTCCAGCATGACTTTTATTTCACGGCCTTCTGCATGGACCCTCGCTTTCCCAACAACAAGTTCCTTGCTCCCGAACCAGAGCCTGTTGCTGCTGCTCAGCAGTCATCGTCACGTCCCCTTCCCGTTCCCGTGGCAGTGCGCTCTTCTATTGAGCAATACAAGTCGGCATTTGACCGAGCTTGTGACGCGCTCCATGAAATCCTCAATCAATTGCTGGAGCAGGCCGAAAAGAATCCGGACAACGCTCATCCGGCTCTCAAGGGTTTAGACCCACAATATGTTGCGGCCCAATGGTATTCACAAATGTGCAGTTTTTGGACGGGCCAGTATCCTTTTGACCGGCCAATCGAGGATGGTGATGCACGACACTGGTGGGAAATCCTTTTCCGGCATCCACTCGCTCGCTTTCTTGCTCTTTGTGTCCTCAAGATGTTCTCAATCACCGCAAATTCCATGGCCGATGAACGAACAAACTCCATGGTCACCTGGATGAACTCTCCCCTGCGTGGGCGGCAATCTGTCGTCACACTTCGCGACATGATTCAGGTCGGGCAGTATCACCGGGCAGACAGCGAGCAGCTAATCCAACCTTCCATCCGACAGTCAAGTTTCGTAAACTTGACTCTGGCCGCATTTCAGCTGTGCAAGCTCTTGATCGCTCAGCTATGGATGACGAAGCCGAAGAATTAGAGGAGGACAGTGAGGATGGGCCTGATGGAGATGAGTCTGAGTCTGAATCTGGGTCGGAGGAAGATGGAGATGATGAGGAGATCACCCCCGAGGTTGAGATGGATAGTGACGATGAAGAATCCTCGCGTTTGCTCAAGTTCGTTGTGGATCGTGCAATGAACTTGGCCTCGCGTGGCTTGCGCGACCTTTTGACTCCCGAGCAACTTGCACCCGAGGTTGGTGCTGGTTCTAGCAGTGGTATACCGATACCAGATGGCTCTAAGACAAAGGTGTCATCGATTGACTGGGCGGCAATCCGGAAAGGACATTTGTAGATCTCGTTGTATATTGGCTGGGTCAACGGCAAGAGTGGTGAGCCTGTTGACGACAAGGACATCAACGGCCGTTAACAGAAGGATATCCTGTTCGTCTGATGCGTGAGTTGATTATTTTGCACGTGATTACTTACTAATCGAAAATAGAAGCTGAGCTCTTCCACGACTACGACCCGTACAAGAAGGTCTTCAACCAAGAGATTGAGCTCTTCCACGATCTCGAGACCGTCGTTTGGCTCCTCTCCCATCTCTGCTTCAAACCCTTCGTCGAATCCGGCCAGATTGTTGCAACTCAGCATCAACATCGACCTCTTCTCCAAAGTCCTCATCGGCTTCTTGAAGCCCATTGACCAGCTGTTCCTCTGCTTTCTGCAGCACAGCGACATCAGTCTCCTCTTCCTGGTTTGAGTCGTTCTGGTCCTTGGCGTTGTACTGCCCATGCTGGTTCTGCCGCTCGAATAATTTCGTCGCATGTCGAGTCGATTTGTGCCCAACAGCACCTCCACAGAATCGCATTACCATATCACAATCACAAAACCTGAAGAAACGGCTAAGCAAAGAGTAGTGTTACATAAAAGGAATACCCACATGTTCACATAGTAGAACGAAAAATCCATGTCCTTCTCTCCTTCACATTCGAGCTCTTGACGTGGACGAGCGACTGATTTCCCAAGACCATTATTGTTGTGCCCAAAAGCAAATGCGGGAATGATGTGGCACGCTCGAATGACGGCAGCAGGATCGAGGAAGCCAAAAGTATACTCGTCGTCGGCAGCTTGAAAGCTGATTCGAGGCATCCGATTAGCGTGAAGCCCCCATTTCTTCTGATCAGGGTCGTGTCCAAACCAGCGTACACAGAGGAAGTCAAATGTCTGTATCTTGTCCGACTGGGAGTGAGGCCTAGTGAGGACCGGTGTGGAGAACGTGAATGTGCGTGATGCGTGCATACCAGTACGGTAGCTTCTCGGTGTTCCCGCCTGGGTTAAGAACCATGATGTCAGAGTGGGTGCGAGGGTTGCAAGAGTCCTGTTTTCGCCGGACATTGTAAGTTGTATAGTTGAAGTCCACCCGTAGCTGTAAGATTTAGCCTGTATGTCCAGCTATAGCTAGGAAATCACTTGCCTAGGAATTGATTCCTTCCTAGCCTTAGCTGTACCTAGTGCTTTTAGCCTATTTTCACCTCAGGTATTGCCCTAACAATCCTAATTGGGACAAAAATGATGTAGCCTAAGATAGCCATCAAAAGTACTGATGGCCATCAAAAATGGTTCCACATTAAAAACAATACTCAGATAGGGGCACTACTATAAGCAGCAGGATACTAGATTAAGCATAATAATATATATGATTAAAAAGTGTCACATGCCTGTCACACATGTCACAAGGTGTCACACATGTTACAAACGGTCACATTTGGCTCTAATATGAGCTGATGCAAGGCAGCCTAGCTAGGGATAACTTTCTAGGCAATGGATTTCCTAACTGCAGCTAGAGTTTCTAGGCTATATACTACCACTACGGCTCCCGTCGATCTTGATATCGATAATACCACAAATTTCGACGAAGGGATGGAGTGTACGCGCCAGCATTGGAGATTTGAGGTAGACACCACGCATAGACGATGACCTAAAGCTCAGAGGGTGAGTATATGCGCGTTAGAATGGAAATACGACGCACAAAGTATCAGTTTTGATCCGTTTCCGACCAGTTCCTGCGTTCTTGCCCCTTTTTTCCACCTTCCGACTAACCAGCTTCACTCGACTGACCCCTTCATCTCCATCCTCCTAAGGTTCTGCATCGTCAGGCTCTTCCTCTTCCTCACTGTCATTCTTGGGCTCGTCGTCGAATAGGTTCCTGGGGTCGTCATCTTGCGGTGTTGGCTCTTGTTCGGCAGGAGACAAGTCAGAGTCGCGAGAGGCTTTGCGGCAACGCTTGCGGAGATGGGAGGGCTGATCTTCTTCCTCGTCTTCTGAGAGTATCCTTCGATAGGGAGTTGGCTGGGGTACGCGGTGGTCGTTGGGCTGGCGCATCTTCTTCATCGCTGTCAGATCGGTTACGGCGTCTATTCGACGTGTTTGTGAGTGGATTTCGGGAGCTGGGGGTCTTCTGAGACTGTTTAGTCATCTTCAAGGTGCGTCTTGAGCTATTGTGGGTCATGGTGGTCGAGAGAGCCCACGCTGTAAGTATTTGCAATAAACCTGTGGCAGTTGCCAGGCTATTTGATTCCAAATGGGCTGGCACCAGCCACCCTCTGGCAATAGCCACAGAATAAAGGCTTTGCTCCTCGGCTGGCTGCGACCAGGCAATCAGCGGGCAGGAAAAGACGGCTTGAACGGCCACGCGGCATGCGGGCCACATCAACCCAATATTTGTATCTAAAGTCCACCCTTTTTGGTTTGTTGTGACGCATTCGACATTCGATATTATGGGCCAGTAACCGCGTCTGCAAAACATGACGACCGTTCCAGGAAACTTGGTTCAAGCAACTGCACAATTCCTCCCCTCACATTGCTTCTCTTCTGAGGCGAGGCGGCGAGGCAGCCTCCCCCCACTTTCCGCGCATTAACTGCGACCTTTTTTTTTGCATCATCCTGACTATACTGTCGACTACCAAAACATCCCGAACCGCTCAATCGATATTTTTCCACAACTCGGAGCCCTCTCAAATTCACACGCCATTCAGAATATCAATTTCGAGTCAATGTGGCGAGTTACAAAGCATATCGTATTTGTACCTACTGTATGTAATAAGGATTCGTTGTCCAACAGAGAGAAAAGCAGTCCAAGTCAAAGAGTTATCAAAGTTACGCGACGACCACGCTGCAAAGGAGTTCCTTGAGCTGCCAGCCATTTCCGCATCTCTTGCGCGAGTGCCACCACCTCGATCATCTTCAACCCACCTCCTCCAATGTCTCTAAGGTGCCGCCCAACCCATTCAGGACCATTGCGGCGAAATGGGGCACGCAGCGTGAATTCGAGAGTCGACAAGACTGCGGCAAATTCCCACCCAGCAAATTGTTGTATCGTATTGAAGTTGGTCCAGCCCACCGCAGCAAACAAATTCAGTCGCTCTCCAAAGTCGACGGTTGGTTTGACTTGGACAAGGAATCTTGCAAAGCCGGGATCGAAACCGGTAGGAAGGACTACGGTGTAGCTATCTGGAGACGGCTCCCGATACTCTGTCGTTTTAATGAGCAGGCCGAGCACAAGAATGTCGAAAGTGCCGAGGCAGTGTGGTTGCTTTTGCTGCTCCCCGTCCGATATCCAACTGTAAGTGTTGCGGGAAAACAGCAGTAGCAGTGCTTCATCCACCTCTTTCTGCGGCCACCGCTTCAAGAGCATCAGGTCTTCAAGGGTGGAAATGTCGTGGGCGTTGAGATTTTCGAGTTTGTTGCTCCAGTCAATATAGGGTGGTTGATATAAGAAACTTGATAGTATTTTTTTCGTCTCCCTCGAGCGGTTGACCTGATGCCTGCAGTATATCGCCTTCAACGACGGACAGAGGAGACTCGTCGGGTTCCATGCTGGCTGTTGTTTCGCTTTCGCCTTGGCCAATGTTCTCTTTGTCTATATCCTTGTTGATTGCGATATTCTCTTTGTCGTGTATATTCTCCTCGTCTTTGATATTATCCTCGTCGTTGTCCTATAGATATATAGGTTAATAATAACTAAGAAAAAGATTCTCAACGCACATGTACCTCACGGCCCGCGACATTCTCCCTGTCGTTCGTATTCTCCTCTTCGTTGTCCGTTTCAGCAATTTCATCTTCGCTGTCCTATAGATATATAGGTCAATAATAACTAAGAAAAAGATTCTCAACGCACATGTACCTCACGGCCTGCGACATTCTCCCTGTCGTTCGTATTCTCCTCTTCGTTGTCCGTTTCAGCAATTTTATCTTCGTTGTCCTATAGATATATAGGTCAATAATAACTAAGAAAAAGATTCTCAACGCACATGTACCTCACGGCCCGCGACATTCTCCCTGTCATTCGTATTCTCCTCTTCGTTGTCCGTTTCAGCAATTTCATCTTCGCTGGTAGCATGTTCAGGTTGGGAATCCGGTTTCTATTTAGGGTCAGCCAATCGAAATCCCCCCATGATTCACTTGCCCAATCCGTCCCGGTCAATTCCTTGTATCGTTGTTTGTCCAAATATTGCCCATCTCGCGCTAATGTATCTTTTGCTGGCGTCTCATTGTGGACAGCCCGAGTAATGTTCCCAGTCCCAGTTTCAAGCTCAGTTCCCACTTGTTCGCGCGTCCAACCCGCATTTGCAAGAGCACGAGCTAAGGCGCGGTCTTGGCGGGAAAGTTTCCCTTTTGCGTATATGCGTTCTTCAGATGGTCTTGTGTAGTATACCTAAGTTAGACAAGGGAGACAGCAGTATTGCTTTCACTCACCTCCTTCCCTGTCCCCATGGCTGCTTCAGTCCCGTTGCCCACGGAGGTATTGTAAGGACAATGAGTGGAAAAGAAGAAGAGCAAATTTAAGCTTTGTCACACCAACGCAGCCACCTTAGTCACTTCCTCACTTGCAAGAGTCAAAGTCAACAGATCAGTGCTTTTCGACATTTAACAACAAAATGGACGTAGTAGCCACAGGAGATAATTGTATTATTGATATTATGTGCTGCATAAGTATCACTGCCGTTGAGTGTTTAGTCCCGTCAACGTCGTCGCAGACGCCCGCTCTCAGCCGTTCCAACACCCACTCAACCTCATCCACCGCTGCCTCCCGCTCAGATACTTTCTTGTCCCAGACTTTTCGACCCCACCAGCTTAGCGACGCAACCAGAACACCCATCCCACTTGATCCCGGCAAGGCCAATGAACCCCAATCTGGGTTATTCGGTTCCAACCCGAGAGACTGCCATCGGCATTGGCTTTTCGCCATGACGGTTGCAAGCTCCGCCACCAGGCGACCCACTCCTGGCCGAACTCGACTGGGTTTGGCATTGTCATTTTGTCGGCCTTGTAGATACGACCCGTCTTGAACCA